TGTGTATGGATTGGGATAACAGTTGTATGAGCCCCTAATAAAATGTTAAAAATAAATAAATAAAATTAAATTAAATTTTAAAAAATATATCCCCTGATGTCATCTTAAAACTGAAGTTTAGTTCAACTAGTAAAAAAAGTTTGCCTTGAGCATTTTGCTCTTTTAAGAACTCTACATGAGATCAAACTGATAACAGCCACCTAAAGCTTAGACAGGAAGTGAAGGGGGCAGTGAGCTGATGTTAATGAGGGAGGAAGAACTCAACAAAGGTGAGTGAGAATAGCTGTACAGCTAGAAGAATGTAATTAACAGCGCTAATTTGTTCATTGGAGAAACTGCTGATTTGGTGTAGGTATTGCTATGTATATCTTCAACAACAACAAATACATTTAAGAAATAAAAGGAAAACCCTTTAGCGCTCTCTCTCTCTGAAGAAAAACGTTCCCATTACTAACATTTACTGAATAGAATATTCCCCCAAAGCTAGGAACTTCCTCACCTAACAAAGGATGTTCAGCAGTAACATCTTCTCTGCCCACAGTGATAGCTGCTGGGGACAGTGTGGGTGGTGGTGGGGTTCTGTCCATGCGAATACATTCATCTGTCTCTTCCGGCATTTCTTCTTCACAGACATCTTCTACTTGATAAACCTGCAAAGGCAAGCCACACTGCCTTAAAATGTTTCCAAAAAGACATTTAAGGAAGTATTCTTACCTTAAATTTTTTTTTAAAAAGCCTAAATGTTTTAAATTTAAACAAAAACACTATTCCGCTACGTGGAAAATAAAACTGAAACTGTCCAAATGAAGTTTTCCCTAAGACTTGGCAATCTTACACAAAAAGTGAGCTGAGGATCACTACCTAGGGTAAAATGCACAAAGGTTTCTGAAAAGATGCTCTACTCAGAACATTTTTTTAATATTGAAAATTAAAATACAATCTCATTTTATATTCTCAAAGAACTATTTTGGGGATCATACTATTATTTGTGTTAACTTCTAATGGTCATAAATAAAAATACACATTAATATTTTTCATAGGGACACTAAGTAAATCAATAAAATGACACATTATATATCAAAAAGCATACTGTTTTGGGGACTGCATCAAGGTTTTTCTTCTTTATATTATGGTGTAATCAAAATTAAATTATCAAAAGTAATGTTCTAAGTGCCTACAAAAAAAGGTATATAATTTTATCTTGACCCTTTCTTTCATCCTTTTCATTCTAATCAAAACTCTATTGAAGAATTTGTCAAGCTACTATCAGGTATATAAAGTACCTGTTCTTAAAATGCAATCTACATATATACCCACACAAACACCCTAAGCCATTTAGCAAATTGTTTTTCAGTTTTTTAATTATTCTGTACTCATAAGGAAAAGCTTTAAAGTGTTTAACTTTACTCACGTTATCCAATTATAAAGTTGACATTAAAAAGTTGAAATAAAAAGGCACTTTAGGAAGGAGTTACACAACTAAAAATCCTGACCTTACTATTAATGCTTCATTATAAAGCAGCTTATTTCTCAAAGTGCACTTCTAGAGACTGGCACATATATTTTATTATTTTAAATGTACTTAAATTAACTATTACTGATGAACGATGACAGGTGACTAGGAACAAAACTACAAAATTGTTTAGGTCCTTTCATTTAGATGCAAAGCTTATTATATAAATTTACAAATTTTTTTTATTAGCTTCTTTATTTCCAACAAATTTTAATGAAACAAAAACTTCTTAACATTCACACAGAACTTTCAGATTTTTCTAAAACTGTTATTTTTCAAACTATTTTAAAAGCTTGATGTTTTGAAGTATATAAAATTAAACAAAAATAATCAAGACTTCATAAAACATGTGCTATGAAAGGGACTGTGCAGTCTCATCTACAAAGGAATATTAACAAAGGAAGACATTTTTAAGTTTCTAATTCTCTAGAAAAAATAAAACAATATTTTTTTGCCTTTTCTAGACTTAAAAATCTTACTGTTACTGATCATTATTTTAAATCAAATACAGTCTATAGAACTGTAATACAAAACATCTATTAATGAGCAACATCTTTTAAAGTTATTGTTTACAATGCTACACCTGAGACCCTTTTTCACCAAAATAGACCTCTTATCTGTCTGGAACCTTAGAAGTAAAGGCTGTCAGTATGTTACTATGCCAAATGATAGTGGCCACTATCTGTTCTTGAAGGAGCTCTGGGAGTGTAGGTGGTGCACATTGGGCTGTGATCCTCATGGTCAGCAGTTTGAAACCATCACAACTCCGCAGGAGAAAGACTGGGTTTTCTACTCTGAGGTAGCTGGTGTCAATTTAAGGATTAAAACTGTAGGGGTG